GTAATGAGTGGTAGTGAAGATACAGACAGCAGCAGGAGTGACAAGAGCGAGGTATTGGCTGGAGAGAGCACAATAATCTGGCAAACAGGAAGTGAAAAAGGTATGGCTTAAATAGGAAGTTCATTTCTCTCTCCGTGAATCTATGGCTCTCCAATAAACACAGGAACATTTCCTTCTCCATGAACCTATGGCTCTCCATTAAACACAGGAACATTTCCTTCTCCGTGAACCTATGGCTCTCCATTAAACAAAGGAACATTTCCTTCTCCGTGAACCTATGGTTCTCCATTAAACACAGGAACATTTTCTTCTCCGTGAACCTATGGCTCTCCAATAAACACGGGAACATTTCCTTCTCCGTGAACCTATGGCTCTCCATTAAACACAGGAACATTTCCTTCTCCGTGAACCTATGGCTCTCCATTAAACAAAGGAACATTTCCTTCTCCGTGAACCTATGGTTCTCCATTAAACATGGGAACATTTCCTTCTCTGTGACCCTTTGGCTCTGTATTAAATATGGAAACATTTCCTTCTCCGTGAGCCCATGGCTCTCCATTAAACACAGGAACATTTCCTTCTCTCTGAGCCTAAGGCTCTCCATTAAACACGGCAACATTTCCTTCTCTGTGAACCTATGGCTCTCCAATAAACACAGTAACATTTCCTTCTGCGTGAACCTATGGCTCTCCATTAAACAGAGGAAAATTTCCTTCTCTGTGAGCCTAAGGCTCTCCATTAAACACAGGAACATTTCCTTCTCTGTGAGCCTTTGGCTCTCCATTAAACACAGGAACATTTCCTTCTCCATGAACCTATAGCTCTCCATTAAACATGGGAACATTTCCATCTCCTTGAACCCATGGCTCTCCATTAAACATGGGAACATTTCCTTCTCCGTGAGCCTTTGGCTCTCCATTAAACACAGGGACATTTCCTTCTCCATGAACCTATGGCTCTCCATTAAACATGGTAACATTTCCTTTTCTGTGAGCCTATGGCTCTCCATTAAAAACGGGAACATTTCCTTCTCTGTGAGCCCATGGCTCTTCATTAAAAACGGGAACATTTCCTTCTCCATGAATCTATGGCTCTCTGTTAAACACGGGAACATTTCCTTCTGTGTGAGCCTATTGCTCTCCATTAAACATGGCAAAATTTCCTTCTCCATGAGCCCATGGCTCTCCAATAAACATGGGAACATTTCCTTTCCCGTGAGCCTTTGGCTCTCCATTAAACACGGGAACAGTTCCTTCTCCATGAACCTATGGCTCTCCATTAAACACAGGAACATTTCCTTCTCCGTGAATCTATGTCTCTCCGTTAAACACAGGAACATTTCCTTTTCTGTGAGCCTTTGGCTCTCCATTAAACACAGGAACATTTCCTTCTCCATGAGCCTATGGCTCTCCATTAAACACAGGAACATTTCCTTCTCTGTGATCCTATGGTTCTCCATTAAACATGGGAACATTTCCTTCTTCGTGAACCCATGACTCTCCATTAAACACAGGAACATTTCCTTCTCTGTGAGTCTATGGCTCTCCATTAAACACAGGAACATTTTCATCAATCTTTTCATTATATGGCAGATTTTCTTAACTGCATTCTTAATACTCTTTTCAGAAAAACTCTTCCCTTCTGTTCTAGTGACTCGTGGCAGGAAGATGAACACACACACCTTTAATGAGGGTCACATCTTCACTGCAGCTTCTGTACTCTATTCAGTTGCTATGGAAATGACGCTCTCCCAGCTGAACCTGGCTGGCTCTTATTTGAGATATAATCCACATGTGTAATCATGGATGGAACGTGAAGGAATGGGGAAAATGATGAAACATAACGTAGACTGTAGTAGTTGTATTCAACACAAGGTGGCAATCTCATGTGAGACACACAGACAGGAAGCAAAGTAGGGTACAGGCGGGAAGTGGTTTTGCAGCATAAAAAGGGCGATAGATGGAAGTAGAGAGGAGACATTGCTGGAACTGGCAGCAGAGGAGGTAATAAGATCTGATTTTCTATTTACACCCAGTAACCCCCCCCCCCCGTCATGTCTGTCCTCTTCCTCCATCGTCACGCGCGTCCTCTTCCTCCATCATCACATCCATCCTCTTCTTCCATCGTCATGTCCCGTCCTCTTCCTCCATTTCACTATAGAGTTCCCACCTTATCCTTTAAAACCGAACATATATTAATTACACAGGTTCTGTGGCTGCTTAGGGTGGTAAGTACACTCTGTGCCCTATCTGCATTCAGTTAGCCTCAGAACCCAACATGTGACATCTGCTTTGGTTTATTATATTGATACATTTCACATATATAGATCCATTTATCCAACCGTCCATCCAGAGCCTCTGGTTTATAGACCGGATACGTCCTAAATATAGAACCATTTATCCAACCGTCCATCCAGAGCCTCTGGTTTATAGACCGGATACGTCCTAAATATAGAACCATTTATCCAACCGTCCATCCAGAGCCTCTGGTTTATAGACCGGATACGTCCTAAATATAGAACCATTTATCCAACCGTCCTTCCAGAGCCTCTGGTTTATAGACCAGATACGTCCTAAATATAGAGCCATTTATCCAACCGTCCATCCAGAGCCTCTGGTTTATAGACCGGATACGTCCTAAATATAGAACCGTTTATCCAACCGTCCATCCAGAGCAGCTAGAAGTCACCCAGAAGATCATTGATCTGCTGACAGGAGAGGTGAGCAGTGCCGGGAATTCTGGGACATTCTCCAGTAAAAGACAAGGGATGTGTCTGGATGGTGACTGTATCATTGTGTGTGTCAGGTTCCTATAAGGTGTCAGGATGTCACTGTCTATTTCTCCATGGAAGAGTGGGAGTATTTAGAAGGACACAAGGATCTCTACAAGGACGTCATAATGGACAATCAGCCGCCCCTCGCATCCCCGGGTAAGAGGTGACTTTATTGTAAAGGAGAGAGCAGTACGGGAGGTCCACCTAGATCCCCCATCATCTGATAAACACATAGAAACAATGGATTCAGTCAGTGTGTGTTTCCTACAGATGGATCCAGTTATGGGAACCCACCAGAGAGTTGTCCCCATCCTCTGTATTCCCGGGATTCCACACAAGAAGGTCACACCATCCTTCACCATCATCAGGTAGGAGGGATTGAGCATGTAGACCTAAAATGTATTCTAAGCTATGAAATTATTTTCTGTTGTTCCTTTTTATAAATGTATTCTATTTTTGGTTTGGTTTAGTGTGAAGAACTGAACAACATCAAAGTGGAGGTTAAAGAGGAAGAAGAAGAGATGTTGGTGAGTGGAGATCAGCAGACTATGGAAGAGGGGGAGATGATTATGGATATTAAACCGGAGGAATCTTCTCTACATATGGACACAAGTAAGTCATAAATACTAAATACAGAAACCGTTCACATTTTAATTTTACATCTCTGAATATAAAACATGTATTTACATTGTTATATGGAGTGAAATATACCATATCTCCATTGAAGTAAAAAAAAAAATAATCCAACGTGGCAGTTGATTCAGAGGAGGGCAGAAAAGATAAATAAAATGTGTCCATAACTCATTAGTTAAAAGAATTCCTTCTTTATCCCAAAACACAGATAATTCCCCCAGATCAACATTCTACAATTATTCTCATTACAAATATTAGAAGCTCTTTCAGTCAGCTAGAACAAGTTCCAGTGGAAGACTATTTCTCATTTTTAAAGCTGGTGTAGCAAAGAACCCTTCCACATGATCTAGGAAATCTCCAGTCTTTGCCACATGAATGTGATTATGTATTTTTCAAACTACCCAGTGTTCCCAATATAGTGTACACCATCTCCATTCCTCAGTATACCGTCATGTTCCCAACAAATGAGGAGGAGATACTGGACACCATATGAAAGGTCCATCTCCATTCCTCAATATAATGTCATGTTCCCCACAAATGAGGAGGAGATACTGGACACCATATGAAAGGTCCATCTCCATTCCTCAATATAACATCATGTTCCCAACAAATGAGGAGGAGATACTGGACACCATATGAAAGGTCCATCTCCGTTCCTCAATGTAACGTCATGTTCCCAATAAATGAAGAGGACATCTTTACACTATGTGAAGGGTGCAAAAGCTGCATGTGACTCTTGTACTTATTGTCCAAAATGTCAGCCCATAGGTGGAATGTTCCTTACCTTGATGGGTCCTCGGGCCATCAAACTGATGTTTGTTGGTTAAACGGTTTTGGGGTTTTTTTCACATTTTCTTTTCACCCTTGTAGTATGTTTTCTGTCTCTGAACATCTACTGTAGAACATGCACGGTGTCTGAAGCATTACATATACTAAATATTATATGCATACCTTTATGGATGTCAGAAGTCACACCAGAGGCTCTGTATAGATTGTCAGTTTACCGTGACTGTACACCGTACTAATGGTATATCTCTGGTCATCTGTATGGTGTCATGTCTTTAAGAATAGGTGGAGGAAAGTCCCGTTCTTCACCATGGCCTTGTCACCAAATACTGTTGCTTAGTGTGTTTTGGGTGTTTTGTATCATTGATCTGGTTTGTATTTGTAGTTTTCTGGTATAATTGTTCCCAACTCAATGTCAGAGCTCTGGGAACATTTTGAAAGCTATACATAGATCTCTGACTTTTGAATACAAGATGTGTGAGAACAGATCTGACGTATATTAAATATTGCTTTCCAGCAGGTGGACAGTGTTCTCGGAATATAAATACATTGGAGGGACATCTTATTATATCTCCAGATTGTAAGGCAGAAGATACTGACATTCCACAGTATTCTCCAAAAGTGAATTCCTATTGGTCAGTTAGATCAATGGATCCTTCTAATCCTGAGGAACCTTCTGATGAATCCCATACTATGACTTCAGATGTCCATCTAAGATCAATGGATCCTTCTAATCTCGAGGAACCTTCTGATAGATCCCATACTATGACTTCAGATGTCCATCTAAGATCAATGGATCCTTCTACTCCTGAGGAACCTTCAAATAGATCCCATACTATGACTTCAGATCTCCATCTAAGGTCAATGGAGCCTTCTAAACCTGAGGAATCTTCTGATAGATCCCATACTATTAATCCAGATCCAAGTTCTCACAGTGTTGGCAGATCAACAGATCCATCCAAGCCCCAGAAATTTTCTTTAAGCCATAAGAGGGTTTACACAGGAGAGAGTTCATTTTCATGTTCAGAATGCGGGAAATGTTTCCCTGAAAACAAAAAGCTTCTTAGACATCAGAGAATTCACAACTCTGAACGTTCGTATTTATGCTCAGAGTGTGGGAAATGTTTCACTTCCAATGCGGTACTTATTGTACACCAGAGAATTCACACGGGTGAGCGTCCTTTCCCTTGCTCGGAGTGCGGCAAATGTTTCATTCAAAAAGAAAAACTTATTATACATCAGAGAACTCACACGGGTGAGCGTCCGTTTTCCTGTTCAGAGTGTGGGAAATGTTTTGCCGAGAAAGGAGTCCTTGTTAAACACCAGAGAACTCACACGGGTGAACGTCCTTATTCATGTTCAGAGTGCGGGAAATCCTTCACTTGTAAAGGAGACCTTGTAAGACACCAGACAATTCACACAGGTAATTGCCCTTTTTCTTGTTTAGAGTGCGGGAAAAGATTTGCTAGGGAAAGAGATCTCCTGATACACCAGAGAATTCACACGGGTGAGCGTCCTTACTCATGTTCAGAGTGTGGGAAATCTTTTGCTCAAGAAAGTGTACTTGTTGAGCACCAGCGGATTCACACTGGTCAGCGTCCTCATCTATGTTCAGAGTGCGGGAAATCCTTCATTGGTAAAAGAGAGCTTGTTAAACACCAGAGAATTCACACAGGTGAACGTCCTTATCCATGTTCAGAGTGCGGGAAATCTTTCATTGGGAAAAAAGAACTTCTTCGACACCAGAAAATTCACACAGGTGAGCGCCCTTATCCATGTTCAGAGTGCGGGAAATCTTTCACTGGGAAAGGAGTACTTGTTCAACACCAGAGGATTCACACAGGTGAACGTCCTTATCCGTGTTCAGAGTGCGGGAAATCTTTCATTGGGAAAAAGGAATGTCTTAGACATCAGAGAAGGCACACAGGTGAGCGCCCGTATTCATGTTCCGAGTGCGGGAAATCTTTCTCCCAGAAAATAATGCTTGTAACACACCGGAGAACTCACACGGGTGAGCGACCTTATTCGTGCCCGGAGTGCGGGAAATGTTTCACCACAAAAGGAGTACTTGTTAAACACCAGAGAGTTCACACAGGCGAGCGTCTTTATTCATGTTCAGAGTGCGGGGAATCTTTCACCCAGCAAGGAAACCTTCTTAGACACCGGAGAAGACACACCACGGGGCGTCCTCGCTGAGTTCAGAGTGCGGGAAATTTTTAAAAATCTGAGGCGTCAGAGAAAAAAGCTGATTCTTTTGACAAATGTACGATGGATTGGACAGGTGGAACGGCCGAGTCCAGGGAACATCTGCAGGATAAAAAATTGTTTTTTTTTTTTTTTTTTTTAAAAAGAGTACATCCTGGCAAAAGTGATATTTCAATAAACGGTAGACTTTGGTGGTCCGAGTCTTCCCTTGCCTCCTTCTTCAATTTCTTGGAGACTCGGATACTGGGACAGAAAAAGGGAGCAAATGTTACCCCACGAGCCTCAGGTTCTCCTACGGAGGGGATCAGAAAGCTGGCAATGTATTGTCGGCTGTAAAGAAGACAAGAAGAGGGCGCCATCTAAGTGTAGTCATAACCCCTTGCTTACCTCTCACAGTAATTATACTGCGAGCAGCCGGTGCGGGCTCGGCGCCGTACATGTATGTTGCTGGCTTGCTTCTGAGTCTGATCCGACGCCGCACGAGTTGGGCAGCAGATTGCAGTCAATGATTTTGGGTGAAATCGGCTGTGGCCAATCACAGCACAGAGTCCTGCGTTTACAAACACCCGCTTCCATACCGCCCTATAGCAGATATACTGCTACAGGGCGGCACGGGTGCGCAAAATCACGTATATATACGTGATTTTGCAGTTCCGGGTAGGGGGCACACGCCATTCACGGCCTCAGCTGTCAATCACCGGGTCCCGGCCAGTGATTTCTTGCCGGGCACCAGGGGATCGCCGAGTATTACCAACGGGGGGAGACCTGTGTATGAACAACAGAGAGCACTCCTTTGTCAGCTCCTGCACACTGCTTTGTATGGCTCTGCATAGCAGCATGCATACAGTGAAACACACAGATAACCCTTTGATCGCCCCAGATGTTAACCCCTTCTTGCTCAGTACCAATGGGGATGTCAGTGACACCAAGTCAGTTCCCCCCCCATGTCATTAGTACAGTGTCATTGCCTTTTTATTAGCACTGATCACTGTATTGCTGTCACTGGGGATGTCAGTGACACCAAGTCAGTTCCCCCCCCCCCCCCCCCCCCCGTGTCATTAGTACAGTGTCAGTGCCTTTTATTAGCACTGATCACTGTATTGCTGTCACTGGGGATGTCAGTGACACCAAGTCACTTCCCCCCCCCCCCCCCGTGTCAGAATGCCCGCCGCAGTCCCGCTATAAGTCGCTGATCGCCGCCATTACTAGTATAAAAAAAAAAATTCCAGTGTATCTATACCGCCATTTGTACACGTTATAACTTTCACGTGAACCAATTCATTTACACGGAGTAGGATTGTTTTTAGCGAAGACATGGAGCAGAATACAAATTTATGATGAAATTTGATTTTTTAACATTTTTTTACTGCACAATAGCAAAAAGTCAAAAATATTGTTTTTTTTTTCCTCAAAATTATCGGTCTTTTTTTGTTTATAGCACAAAAAATAAATACCGAACAGGTGATCAGATACCACTGAAAGAAAACTCCATTTGTGGGAATAAAAGGACGTAAATTTAATTTGGGTGCAGCGTTGCATGACCGAGCAATTGTCAGGGAAAGTAACGCACACCCTGGTCAGGAAGGGGGGGGGGGAATCCTCTGGAGGGTAAGTGGGTACTATGAACTCCGTATTCACTATATCCGCTCTCCCCGGACCCCGCATTCACTATATCCGCTCTCCCTGAACCCTGCATTCACTATATCCGCTCTCCCCGGACCCCGCATTCATTATATCCGCTCTCCCCGGACCCCGCATTCACTATATCTGCTCTCCCCGAACCCTGCATTCACTATATCCGCTCTCCCCGGACCCAGCATTCACTATATCCGCTCTCCCCGTACCCCGCATTCACTATATCCGCTCTCCCCGGACCCCGCATTCCCTACATCCGCTCTCCCCGGACCCTGCATTCACTATATCTGCTCTCCCCGGTCTCCGCATTCACTACATCCGCTCTCCCCGGACCCCGCATTCACTACATCCGCTCTCCCCGGACCCAGCATTCACTATATCCGTTCTCCCCGGACCCTGCACTCGCTATATCCCCTCTCCCACAGTACACGCAACATGGAAATGTAATTATTTTAGTAAATATAAACAGCTAAATCCCTTTTACCATCAGCAGTATATAGCAGTCTTGTGACTTCTATCAGTGTCCAGCAGAGCACTGGTTAAAGCTGTAGGAGGAGTTTTCTTTCTGCTCTAGGAAGATGCAGAACCCCTGACCTCTGTCTGGACAGTGCTTATTGTACTCTATGTCCATTGTACACCACATGTACTCTCCCAAGAAAAAAAAAAACATCTCTAGCAATACAGGTATAGATGAATCAGAGTGACTTGCGAGCCACAGGTGTGATAATTACTAGAGGATCGCAAACATGAAACACATAACTACAACTGTGTTGGAAATATCTACAAATATATGTTGCGCTCCTAAATACTTCTCAATAAATAATAATTAAATTATTACCATTAAATTAATTCAAATAACTAATAAAAGTGTATAAATACCAAAAAATATTTAAATAGATAATTTCAACTAATCAATCTCCTCCAAATAAATATCAAAATAATTCCACATAAAATACTCCTCTAAAAAAATTTTTTTACCAAGTGCTCATAAATCATCTATTAGTGACATGATGTACTTACTAATACCCTCAATTTCATTTATATTCATAATACCCTCATTTAATATATTAAATATAGTAAAACCAACTAATAACCCTCAAGTAAAACGCATTTAAATGATCCTCCATAAATAAAAATAACCAAATGCTCATAAATAATTAGTAGTGATTAGTATGAATCCAAATATCATCAAAATAATAGTCCCATTGAATAAACAATTGTTTATATATAGTGACTTGGTGCTTGTTGTTCTTCAATTTGTGACTTTTGTGAATCCTTCAAATAGTGAAGATGTGCGCTCACCTCCTTTGATGCCTGCAATTAGGCTATACACGCTTTCGGTTCACTTTCCCTGGAACCTGCATATACTTTTGCTGGTAAAATTGGGAGATCCTTCCTTTAGGAGTAATGGATGTATCCTCTGGTGGCTGATTATCCCCTCAGGGATTACACACTCCTTTTGTTATCTCAGACCTCCTAATTATCCTCTCCTTGTGTTACTCCGCATGCAGGAAGAAATAGAGGACATAGTGCTTTACCTTTTAAAACTTTTTATTCCCACCATCCAAGTGAGATCTCTAGCAATACACACCAAACCGAGCATGTGCAGAAGGGCCACGGGTTCAGTTTGTAGATAAGAGGTGGTCGCTTGAAAAAGGGGGAGGATCAGAGAAGACAGGATCAATCAGCCTTTTTACACACAATGCGGAGGATTAGCCCCTTAGGTTCCACAGTGAGTATAACAAGCACGCTTTACTGCATCTACAGACTGATTGTACTGTTGGGGGTTCAGTAACACTTTAACCCCTTGATTGCCCCTAAATGTTAACCCCTTTCTAGCCAGTGTATAGTATTATCACTGTATGAACGTCAGTAACTACACCGTGTTCCAAATTATTATACAAATTCAATTTTTTTTTTTTTTTTTATAAATGTTTATTAATTTTATCAACCAGATACAAATCACAATCACATTTCTATTAAAAAAGACATCCAAACAATATCTTCCTATTAGCATAAGTTATTTAGATCCCTCGCCTCATCCCTCCTCTTCCTCCCCCCGCTCACAACCCCCCCCCCCCCCCCCCCCCCCCCCCCCCACTGTGCGTTTTCTCTCTTCTCCTTTACGCCAAACATTTCTATTATTTCTAAAATCCATTTCAAGGGGTGTTACATCCTCATATATTTTTCATTTGTTCTCTACACTCTTCCCATTTTTTCCACTTTGTGTTATACATCTCCATCTTGTCTATATGCATATAATACACTCTTTCTGTCCCACAGATCTGATTCATTCTGCCCATCCAATCCTTCTCTGTTGGCACCTCCTTTTTTTTTCCAAAACCTAGGTATCAAACTCTTCGCTGCAATAAAATAGTGCCATATCCCCAAAACCTTATATAATTTCACTGGAAGCTCTGTGAAATATAGAGAAGACATAGTGCTGGGTCTAATCCAATATTAATTTTAGTAATTTTCCTTACTAGATAAACTATTTTCCGCCAAAACACCTGTATTCTTGGACCCTCCCACCATATATGATACCACGTGCCCACCTCTCCACAACCTCTCCAACACAATAGTGAAATCTCCCCATTCAATTTATGCTCTATATTCGGTGTAATGTGCCATCTTACCAAACACTTATAATTTATTTCCACCTCCCGCATACTAATGTTTTCGTGAATTAATCTAAGCATTTTCCTTTGCTCCTCCTCAACTATTTCCCTTCCCATATCTCTTTCCCATTTCTCTATATATATAAATTTTGTGTCAGTGTCTAATTCAATAAATACAGTCAGGTCCATAAATATTGGGACATTGACACAATTCTAACATTTTTGGCTCTTTACACCACCACAATGGATTTGAAATGAAACGAACAAGATGTGCTTTAACTGCAGACTGTCAGCTTTAATTTGAGGGTATTTACATCCAAATCAGGTGAACGGTGTAGGAATTACAACAGTTTGCATATGTGCCTCCCACTTTTTAAGGGACCAAAAGTAATGGGACAGAATAATAATCATAAATCAAACTTTCACTTTTTAATACTTGGTTGCAAATCCTTTGCAGTCAATTACAGTCTGAAGTATGGAACACATAGACATCATTAGACGCTGAGTTTCATCCCTGGTGATGCTCTGCCAGGCCTCTACTGCAACTGTCTTCAGTTCCTGCTTGTTCTTGGGGCATTTTCCCTTCAGTTTTGTCTTCAGCAAGTGAAATGCATGCTCAATCGGATTCAGGTCAGGTGATTGACTTGGCCATTGCATAACATTCCACTTCTTTCCCTTAAAAAACTCTTTGGTTGCTTTTGCAGTATGCTTTGGGTCATTGTCCATCTGCACTGTGAA